TTTTGGTTTTTTAGTTGAATTATACTTAAAGTTCAGGGTAATCAACTGTTAAGAACATACTGTTCAAAGTAAATGGATAATTGTTTTTAATAATCGTGATATCAATTATTGACTCAAATAATCGAGATTATGATTTTTGCCATAATCGAGCAGCTCTAGTCTGTGTGTCTGTCTGTCTGTCTGTCTGTCTGTCTGTCTGTCTGTCTGTCTGTCTGTCTGTCTGTCTGTCTGTTCAATACATGTATGAACCTGTCTATGTTTGCATTTGATTATTTTAATCACAGTTTTTATTTCCTCTCTTAACAGCTTCATATGGGAAAACAGGCTGAGGAGCAGCAGAAGTACGGAGAGCGGGTAGGACCAAATTTCACAATTAGGATTAGGTCTATTTATTTATTTTGACTGCTTGCTGCTTCATTTCAGACATAAGTCATAGGAGTTTGTGGAGGTTACATGCAAATCTCATCGGCACATACACTGCATGTCTGTTCTGAATTTCTATGTTTATGACACCAGGAAGACTTTAGTTCCTTTCAATTATCCAAATGTTGCGAGCTATTTAGTTGAGAAAAAAAGTGAAATAAAGCTTGGCATTTTTCCAGCAGTTATAAAGTAAAACATTTTCACAGACTGTTTTGAAACTACGTCCACACTATTATGTCTTCATGCAGCTCTCGTCCTTAGTCTGTGTCACTCTGAAAGTATTGCTTTACTTCTTGGAAAAGTTGCAGAAACTCATTATTATAATAAGCTGTTATTTTGGGTCATAAAAATATAAAAGCTTGTCTGTTGCTATCATAGCATGCTGCGTTTCCTTTTTCTCTTCCATCCTTCTCTATCTTCGGTTTCCACTTCCCAGCATTTCCTGTTTTTCAATGAAATGTCGTGTTTCCAACAGTTGGCGTACCTGCAGAGCTCCATTGACAAACTATCTGAAGCCATCAAGCTGGCCAAGGTGGTAATATAATTTACTTATTAGCAAACATCATTTCATATGTTGTCAGGGTCATTGTTACATGTCTCTAGTTATTAAACCGTTGGACACACAACTTGTTTCCGTCTTGTCTTTGGTACAACAGGGTCAGCCTGACAGTGTGCAGGATGCCTTGAGATTCACCATGGACGTTATTGGGGGAAAGTGAGTAAATTAATCTATTATGTCACAGTTTTGTTATTATAACATAGTTTAAATTAGGGTGTCCGCGGGGTCTTAAAAAGTATTAAAAGTTGAAAAATCAATTTAGCAAAAATTAGGGCTATTAAAAAGTATTAAACGGCATTTTCCAAGGTATT